AAAATAATGTAAACTATAAAGAGTGTAAATTTTAAAATAAAAATTAGAAAATTCAAAAGCGTGAAGAAAGAAAATATTAAACATGTAAAAAAATTAACATTATATAATAATAAAAATAATAATATATTACATAAAATTATTTAAAAACAAAAATTAAAGTAACCTATAAGAGAATAAAAATATGAAAAATAAAATAAAATAATGAACTTGAAAAAAAAAACTGAAAAAAAAATGCAAATTTTCTAATGAAACCTTTCATGAAGTGCTCAAATTTTAAATTGTAATTTTTTTTATAATTTTATTGTTAGCTTTGTTTCCTATGATTTCTTTGTGTTTCTTTTTGTTGATAATACTTTTAGAATTTTTGTTTTTTTCTTGTTTCTCTATGTTTCTAGTTGTTGCATGTTCATATTCATTATTCGAAATTTAACATTTTAGCTTTTTTCTCTTTTCAATTCTTCAAAAGTATTGACTAGGTGTTTATATATAAATCTATATAAATGCTCTATTTCAAGGATGTAAATAGAAATTCAAATAAACAACAAAAATCTAAATAAACAATAATAAGAAACACAGTGCAAAAAAAAGTAACAAAATGCAACAAGATGCAACAAGATGCAACAAAATGCAACACATGTAATACAACAAAAAGAAACAAAAAATAATATATAACAGTATCACAACAAATATACAATTCCATCTATTATTTCAATTTAATACATTTATCTATTATATTATTTGGTTTTACTTCTTTTCATTTCTTCTTCAATATGTCACCCGTATTGACACCAGCATCGGTGTCTCTCTCCAAAGAGGCATCAAATTTCTTCCAATATGGATTGTGATTCATTATATCATCGATTGTGGTTCTCCATACTAGTTGATGGTACTTCTTCCCTACAAAATACCAATCTTTTAAGTAGAGGAAACACTCAAAACACTTGGAGAGAGCTAACCCTTTCCAACTTAATTTTGATTTTTGGCATCATTCTCCCAAATAGCAATCCAGGACTTAGCAACAAACAACAACGGCAGCTTGCATAACAAAATACTCGTGCAAAGATAAAGTTGAGGAAATTGCATGACAAGAAAGAACAAAAATAGACCCTGCAGATTGAATCTATTCTTACTCTTTATATGCCAAGAATACTGCAAATGAGATATAGACATGGACATATAAGTGATCAAACTTACTAAGCAAGCAAAGTAAGCATACCTGTGCTAATTCAGAATCTTCCTCCAGAACCGAGCTCCAAAGCATTTCCATATCGAAACCTATGTCACCTGGAACATCCGAGGTTGCTGTTTCTCCACCATCGGACTCCGGCAACTTCTCCGGTGACTGATGCTTAGCACTCTCTCTCATTAACCACCATCATCGCAATTCAAGCCAATCCACACATCCAGCAAAATATATAAAACTTAACTAGCAATTGTATTAACACTTGTGGTCATCTTCTAAAAAGTCATTCGTCATTGGGAAGTACATTTATACTACCATATCATATACAGAAACTCACCCAAACACTATATCGCCCTAACTTTGCTAGGAAGTTGTCAATCTATGGTAGAAGTGTATGAGCATGATTATGATTAACCATACCTATAACAAACACAAAAGCCAAACTATTGATTAGTGAAGATGATCTGTGGCATATATTATAGGCATGTGAATTACATTTTCATGAATCCATTCAAACAGACATACACATATAGATTATATTGAGATGTAAATCAAGAGAGGGAGGACAAAAAACCTCAACCAAGTTTGATGTGGATAACAATTTGCTGGGATGAAACAGAACTATAAAATTCTGAGGAATTTGGTGCCCGAGTGCGGATCTGTGTTCTCAATTGAAATAGAACCGTTGTGAGTGCACAGAATCTAGCGTGACTCGAGAGCCGTAAGGTCTATATTCATTCTCCCTCCCATACACGGCTATCAACAACACTAAAACGTCACTCAAATTCAGGATCTAGAATCGACGATTCCTTATACTCCGCTATTCTCAAGCTACGCGTGAACCAACAGAACAAATAATGGTGGAAAATTGATGTTGTCGATCCTTCAAATTTGGCCTTTTGTTCTAGATTCGAATTACAGATTAGAGAAAGTGTATTGTATCATGTTGATTGAATCATGTATCTGAGAGAGGTGGCGGCGCTGTGATTGAAGTGAAGCTAAGAGGCGGTGGCGCAGCGATTGGGGTGTAGTCGAGATGATGTGGCGTTGTGATTGAGATGATCGAAGTTGAGAGAGGCGGTTGAAGAAATTGATTTAGTGAGATGGAAGATGGGTTGAGGCTGTGAGGAAACGGAAATAACAGATTTGTAGAAGATGATCGGAGATGCAGAACTTCGTAACTTTACTCTTCAACCTCACAAGTCTGCCATTTTTGTCGTTTAATTTGGCTTTTTGTTATGTACAGAGCTTCTAGGAGACGGCGAGATGTTGAGTTTGGAAACCTGGGTATTTTCTTGTTTTGGATTTACTTTGATAGTTTGATGGCAGGTTTGGGCTATTTTTGAAATATAGAATTTGTAGTGAAAATTTGAAAGTTAGAAGTAAAAAGTATTTTAAAGGCGGACATAAATGAAATGCTAGAGTGCTAGACAGAAAGTGACTTGTTCCGGATATTTCCACTTTTTTAAAACCGGGTCAATTAGGGTTAAAACCGGACCGGACCGGAAGATTCAGGTCCGGACCGGTCTGGACCGGTTAGATTCAGGTCCGATCTTTGGTCCGTAGAAAATGATGATTCCGATTCCGGTTCCGGTCCGATTTTGGACCGCTGCACACCCCTATTATCACCTACTCCATATTTTGACAGGGAGAAAATGTCTCAATCATCCCCACCTCCACCAAGCCCCTATTCCCATCCCTGGGAAGCGTATACCATACAGCCGGCTGTACGGCTGGGCACCGTACAGCCGGTGGCATTTTTGTAATTTTGATGAAGTTCACGATTTGTCGTAAATGAGCATTGATGTAATTTTATTGAGCATCGAGTCTGTTCTTCTGAGTATTAAGAGCCTAACTATGAGCACCCGTGGTCTCTGCTTCATACCTTCTAATTCAGTTTCTTTTTATTAATTTCCGTTTTTAAAAAATTCTTAAATTGTGTTTGTAATTAATTTCAATATGTCAATCTATTGTAGTATGATATGTTTGATATGTGCATCATTTTCAAATGAGCATAAACCAGTACCAAATGAGCATACCTAATTTACAAAATGAGTTTCCAAAAAATCAAAACTTCATTTGTGTATGCTCATTGATTTTGGGCGTTATATTTAATATATGCATCATTTTAAAATGAGCATATAGCAATACCAAATGAGCATACATAATTTACAAAATGAGTATCAAAAAATTTAAAAGCTCATTTGTGTATGCTCATTAATTTTGGGCGTTATATTTGATATGTGCATCATTTTAAAATGAGCATAAAGCAGTACCAAATGAACATACATAATTTACAAAATGAGTATCAAAAAATTCAAAATCTCATTTTGTGTATGCTCATTGATTTTGGCGTTATACTCATTTAAGTTTAACATAAAACTCATTTTTAATGTGTTTAATATTTAGTTGTGTATGTTCATTTCTTTGAGGCGTATACTCATCTGAGTTTAATATAAAACTCATTTTTAATGGGGAAAACTGTCAAATAGGTCCTCGAACTTTCATAAAAAGGTCAATTAAGTCCTTCTATAGGAGGTTCTGTCCGGCCGTCGCGATTTTGGGCAGTTCCCGGTGGAGTTTTTTGATGAAATTTTTTGAGCATCTTATTCACCAAGTCTAGTTTACTCATACCAAATTTCAGCTAAAAATTCAATCGGGAACACATTCAAATTAATTCTTGAAGATAACTGCGCATTTTTGCGTTCTCGAATTAATTTGAATGTGCTCCCGATTAATTTTTTAGCTAAAATTTGGTATGAGTAAACTAGACTTGATGAATAAGATGCTCTAAAAATTTCATCAAAAAATTTCACCGGGAACCGCCCCAAATCGCGATGACCGGACAGAGTCTCCTATAGAAGGACTTAATTGACTTTTTTATGAAAGTTCGAGGACCTATTTGACAGTTTTCCCTTTTTAATGTGTCTAATATTTAGTTGTGTATGTTCATTTTTTTAATGTGTATACTCATTTGAGTTTTTTATAAAACTCATTTAAGATCAATAGTAGTAGGGACTTCCTTTTTCTGCAGTAGGATCCCTTTGTCTTCCAAAATCACAATCTCAATCTCAATCACCAAAATTAAATAAGAAAAAGAGAAAAAAGAAAAGAGTGAAAAGAAAGGCAGAGGAAATTTGTTTTGCCCATTCTAGGAGATCAGCTGTGAGAGGCAACTACCTAGGAGAGAAAGAGACAAGTGGTGCGAAGCAGATGGAAGAACCAGACAACATCTGAGACTGGTGCGAAGCTGGGTGCGAAGTCGAGGAAGAAGGCCGAGCGAGATCGATCGAGGAAGAAGGCTGAGCGAGATCGATCGAAGGGCAGAGCAAGATCGAGGAAGAAGCCCAGAGCCAAAAAGGGCCGGCTATACCGTGCGCACGGTACAGCCGGCTGTACCATGTAATTTGGCCATGACAACTTTTTGTCAAACAATAATTACATTCTTACTAAAATTGTTACTTAAAGTAGAAGGGTAATACTCCAGAAATATACTACTCCGTATAATAGATTAGAAAGCCCAACAAGAAAAAGTAAAAGTATTTTCCATGAATCCCATTTCAGAATGTGTACAGTTCAGAACGGAGTGAGAATCGGTGCAGTGTGCTACATCAATGATCAAACACTAGTGTTTGTTACTCCAAACTCTAATGCAACCTATGGAATATCAGAACCTCCATCCAAAATTTTGCTATATTTCTTCTTGCAAGTACACCTTCGACCCCTTTCCCATAAAATAACATCATCAAACCTTTCCCACCTCACTACAACCATAAATTTTACCACAACCTCTTATTTGGTAAGGGCTATTTGGCTGAAATAACTGAGGTTTCTGATTATTTTGCAGAGAAGAACATGCCGAATCATGAAACCAAACAGAGCCTAACTCATGAAACATTATTACTGATGAATCTCATATCAACTGAACAAGTTTTGTGTTACAAATCTTTCAATGAGAGATAAGCACGGATAGAATGTCTACCAAGAAAAACAGAACATGAAAACCTAAGCAACCACCATGAAGGTAGGGATAAACACATGAATATAAGCTACAGGTACAATTCTATCGTGCATTGCGGTTAAGCAAACCTTGGAACAATGTATAAAGATCCTTGTTATCCTTGCCAAATATATCTTCCGCTTTCCTCAAAGTTTCCTACAAGATTTTATAAGAATCACAATAACAACCAAGTTTTAATTCAAAAAATAAAGTGTGAAATCATTATTTTCACCTCACGAGATTGCTTATGTGCATTTAACTCCTTTATGTTAGCCAAAAATGCACTGAACTGCTCGTACGATAGACGACTCCTGAATCAAGAAGCAGCAAAAATAAGTAGAATGCTATCTCAATGTGGAATCAAGTTAGATTGAGGTAAAAAAAATTGATATTCACCTGGCTTGACGAAAGAACTCCTTCCCATCTATTCGAGGAGTTTGACCTTTAAACATTGTAAAACGTCAGAAAACACATAAAAAAACCGAAAATAAGCAGGTTACCGTATTATAGATCTGCAACAAATAGAAATAGTTTTGAAGAAGAAAAGTTTCTGTCCAAAAAATCTGCACAAAGGAGCTCGCAAACCGCAAATGCTCTTCTTACTCAAGGGAAAATACAATTGAGACGAATAAGGGGAGGGAAATGAGTCAGATGTATTAAGCTTTAAGGCTTCATCTGGAAAACAGAAAACTACTGGGGAAAGAAAGTAGGGGAGGAAATAGGGGAAAATTGGATGGAAAGACAATGTAAGAAAGAGAAAAAGTTAGAGTGTTAGACTATAAGGTGTAGAAAATGTTAGACTTAATCTCATTTGGATATTTGTCAATATAATTTTATTTATTATGTCTATAAGATTAAGATACCATGCTCCGTGATTTGCATGTTGGTCTGCTCGCAATATCAATTTGTAATGGACAAGGAAAAAGGAAACATCTCAATTCATCAATGTTTCGTGATATTTTGCATGCATTTCATGATATACTGCATGAAGGACATCCAGTACAAAACATTGTATCTATGCTTTAGAAGGAATATATATTTTTTAGAAATTAGAAGGAATATAAATTATTTATTGATTGATTAACTAATTTTATACAATTCATTGGAACTAATAATCTCACGCCAATTATCCTGACAATAAGAACATAAGATAACAACTTTCACTAGCAGTCCCCCACCCCCGTCCATAGCATTTTACTGAATCGAAACATACCCTAAAAGACGACTTTGAAAGATATCAGCAATTTAAACCTGACGTAGGGCGTGATCTTGGTGGTGAGTTTGCAGCTGAAGATTGTTGACTTGATGGAAAAAAAGACGACATTGAACCCCGACCCTCGTAATGAGAATTTGTGGGCGATGTTGCGCCAGATGCTATGTGAGGAGACTCAGCAGCAGAATATCGCCTGGGAGATACACTAGCTGATGCTACCTTTGGCGTTCCAGTTGGGGTAAGCCGGGGAGTTATGTAAGGCGTCACGGAAAATCTTTGAATAGATTGTTTTGATGCTGCGAACCAAAAATATTTTATAAAATAAATAATTAAAAATTAACAAGCTTCCAATGCTTCACAACATGCAAGATAAATTACTCCCTACAGTTTACAACTAGTTTTGAATGGCAAGTTGGGGTATCAAGGCAGTTTGTTTTGAATGGCAAGTTGGGGTATCAAGGCAGTTTGTTTGAAGAGATGAGACATAAGTCTTGAGGCATAAGCTTCAATATATACCACCAACTAAGACTTTTGTAGTTCTACAACTAAGTACCAACTAAAGATATGCATAATTATAAGACCTGACTCCAGAAATTTTTAAACACAAAATACATGACAATGATGACATGATCAAACACCATAGTACACAAGAAGGAAAAAAACTGACATTCTTCTTCATCATCCACCTCATTTACTTATTTTTTGCTTATATATCCCTTGAGTATCAGTTTCTTGCTTCAACTTTCTTTAGTTTGAGTTTAATCAACATCTAACGCTTCCCCTACAAAAACATCACCATCAAGTACACCAAGGCCATCTCTTAAAGTGCTTGGTTCACCATCATCTTCACCACAAGACACTGATCAGATAGGTGGCTTCTTTTTTTATTCGCTATTAGGGTATAGAGAGTATACGTGTACTATCTTTTACTGTATGAGCCTAATTACTTACTTTTCTCACAGCTGGAAAAAAAAACAAAGAATCCTGCCTCAAAAAACGCCCTAAGGCACACCTCAAGGCATATGCCATGACAATTCGAGGCATAAGCCTCTTAGAGTGCAAGAAGGGATAAGCATCAATACCCATCCTGACTTTCTCACCTTGAGGCACGCCCCAAACTACACAATTTTAACTGTGGTGCACAACAAGTGTTACAGTGGAGGAAATTACGCATGTTAAGAAATCATAAATGGAACTTGTTTATTAACATTACTCCACTAAAAACACTCCTAATATCATTGAATTTGTTGCATTGGTTCAATAACGGGCGAATGGGAAAATGGCATTTAATGTTATCTTGGTTTTATAAAGTGATAAGTGTGTCACAAAAAAACAAATTGCCCTAAATAGCAGTAAAATTTGGAATTCTAAAACAAGAGCACTACGTTTTTATTCTCTAGATATGAGTAATTACTGTCATGTTCGAAAAATACTCCCAATATGGCAGTATAATGACATACTACATATTTAAAGCTTGGTAATGCCAAAATATGACACTAAAACATCAGGATGGCAGGATGTTACTCTTGTTTAGGGAAAGAATATAGCACTCCTATTTTTGGAATTTTGCATTGATTTTACTAATAAGCAGCGCTTATCATGAACTACAAGAAATAAAGAAATATACCATCATCATTGACACCTGCACTCTCTTTAGCCCCATTAAAGGCATATTGTGAGATGTAGCCATTAGCAGCATCTGAGAGTTAAGGAGCTAGCCCATTAGAATACAAATAACAAACCTAGACACCTTCTCTACTAGGAAAACCATGTATGAAGGTTCAATGAAATGAGTGCAAAACACAAACACTTGAAAAATACTCATCTGGCACAGAAAGCAGAGACTTGCCTTTAGGAGAAAGTGACTTTGCAGCTAATTGATCATAAGTGCCAATATCAACTGCTTCTGATTGCTGGTAATCATTAGAAAGAATCAGTATTCAGTACTTCGCTAATTATAGGAACAATTTTATGCTTGTTAAACAAAAAGAGCCTCCAGACTGCAGCAAATGCTTATGTAAAACATAAATGAGGTAATAATAGCCCGTTTGGTAAACCCCTTTTTTGACTTATCAGCCTTTTAAGCCATATTTTTCACCAAACGCCTGCTTATTTCAGTCACAGACGGAGCCACATACAACAATATTGTTTTTGCAAAACGCCGATGATGATGAAGTTATACAATATTTTAACATATACGAATTGAATTGATTACTTGTAGATTAAGTAGAACTATCAATGATTTTATTTTATATTTTCATTTTTGTCTGAGAATTAGTATTAAATTAAAAAACAATTACACCACTCAAATGAAGTTCTGACTCGGTCTTGATTTCAGTATGCTGATTGAATTGGCTGATAATGATAGAAAATAGCACATCAGCTACTGCTTTCATTGAAGAGATTAAATAAAAGTAAATGATATCTAACTAATAAATATATTTTACACATTCTTTAAGATAATGCATTTTTTGGCTTGAGAATATGATGGAATCAAGGTAGTCAAAATCGCGTGTTTACTAGCAGGATCGTACGATTATACGATCCCCAGTAGCCTTTGCGATCACGTTTCTACTGAAGATCGGAAAATTGTAAAATTGCGGGGATCGGCGTGTTTAATCGCAGAATCGTAGAATCGCAGCTGAGTCGCGATTCTATTTTATTATTTGTCATAAATTTGAAAGTTGTCCGACTTTTAAGAAACGTCTGGAAAAAGAATCCCAAGGCGTCGAAACTTGTGGGAAACATGCGGATAGATGAACGAAGCCGCTTTGAAATTTACAGAAACAGTCCTGCGTGAATCTCCTGTGCCTGCAATCTTTTTTTTTCAAATTTAATATTTTTTCATCTCTCCATATCTTCTGCTGCTTCTGCGTCTAGTCCATACCTTCAATTCTTCATCATCTGTTGTTAGCTACTGCGTCGACCTCCAGGTAATTTTTATTTATATTTTTCAGTTTTTGTTTATAAGGTTTGGACTTTGGAGTTGTAGTATCAGAATAGTTCCTTTATAAGGTTTGGAGTTCGTTCTTTTATACGGAGTAATTAATAATATCTCCGTAGGAATTTTCAATTTAGAATAAAAGAAGTATTACCTCATAACATTAGTTTAAAATATTTTGCATTTTTATTAGTTTGTTACTTTGGTTTACGTCTGTATTTCCCACATTATTACGTTGCAATTTATATGTTACTGTGATTCTTATTAGTTATGAGTTATATTCAATATCTAATGATACATATATTTTTTATTAATCCATATATTATAACATATAATATACATACATATTTATAAAGTAGGATCTTACGATCCGAGTTACGATCCTACGATTTACGATCCTCAGGACTCCTACCGATCCTACGTAGGATCTCGAGTTTGACTACCTTGGATGGAATAAAGCAAAATGGCTCACTAAATTGTCTGTGTTTCTTTGCTATGAAGCAACCGTCAGTCCATGCAATTTTTTACACGAGACTAATGTTGTTGTATACTTTAAGATCATAGTAGTCAATGGTCAGATATGGCGCGCGCTGTATGCGCTATCGCCATGAAAAAGTGGTTGTCGCCATAGCTCCATATGCGCCATCGCCATGTGCCATGAAAAATGCCTTTGAGCCATGGCGATCACGATCACCATGCACCATGGCAACTATGTTTAAGATAATGCAGCAGGCACAAATCATACAATTATTTTGGCCAACACTTGAGAAGATTTAGCCACTCAAAATACAAGGCTAAATAAAAAAACTAGTAGTACAATCTTACAGTTGAATTGTCTTCACTCAGAGATTGCATCAATTGCCTCTTGAACAACTCCAGCTGTGAATTGTCATCAAATTAGACCACGTATATGTATAATGTGAAACACCCAATTTTAGGATAGAACTAAAGTAAAAAAATAAACGCCATATACAGATAAAGAACAAAACACATGGATAGAACTACAATTCTGCAAATCAACAATATGAACTCTCTTAAAAAATATAAGAATGTAAAATGCCTTGTAAAATTTATTTGCAGTATTCGACACAATGCTGATTTAGCCAGTCACAACAATAGCAACAACTCAAGTAAATAAACTTGAGTATTTTTTTTCTACCAAGTGCCAAACAAACCAAGGTGGGTGATATCTTGTCTGCAGATATAGAAACAGTGCATTCTCTTATAACCACTTACCATTACAAAAAAAAATGTTACTTTTATTCGTGAATTGGGCCTTCAGTTCTTAACAAAAATTAAAAAAGCACACAAGAGCAAAAATCAACAAATTTGGAACTACAGTACAAGAAGTTGACAAAAATGCAGTCATTAATACGTAGTATTTGTTAATAAAGAAGTATGAAATGTTTTTCAGAGTCTGTGTTGAACAAAGAATATTGAATATACGTAGTATATACAAAAGTATCATAGCTAAGCTATGAAAGCGTATATTCTATACTAAGTAACTAAAATCTACTTTAATTGAGCATATATACAGCAGTAAGCCCGTAACGTATCTCTAATAGAATGTCCTCTAATTGAGCATGCACACAGCTGTACCTAACACTTCTCCTCAAGTTGGAGCAAATATATTAATCATGCATAAATTGCTACAAATATTTACAAAATGGCTTCGTAAATATGTCTGCGAGTTGATGTTTAGTCCTAACATGCACTAGTATTATCGATGGAGGATTTGATTGTGTGCCAACCACATGAACTCTGACTAAGTGACAATCAATAGAGCCTCTCATGAAATGCTTGATTCTTGGCTATATGGATAGCTAACTGATTATTACAATAAAGCCTGATCAAATCATTAGTATTCAGTCCAAGCTCTTTGAACAATCTTTTAACTCATGTCATTTCACATGAAACATCTGCCATGCCTATATTCCGACTATGCACTTCATCGAGAGACAATGTGTTGTTTCTTGGATTCCAGAAAACTAGATTTCTATCAACAAAGACACAATATCCAGTAGTCGACTTTCTGGAAAAGGGACAGCCAGCCCAACCTGCATCCGAGAAACTATATATTAAAGCCTGGTGTGGCTTTGAAATACCTCAAAACACAAAGAGTTGCATCTCAGTGGCCTGTGTATGGATTGGGCATGAACTAGCTCATGACACTTACTGGAAACAATATATCAGGTTGAGTAATCGATTTATTTTCCCGATTAGTCTCCTGTAATGCTTTGGATCCTTCATAGGACTTCCATCCTCTTGAAGAAGTTTTCCTGTCGTAAGCATTGGGCTATCCACTGCTTTGCATCCTAGTAAATCACATTCAGTCAACATATCAAGGACATACTTCCGTTGAGATAAAAGAACTCCTTGTGGAGATTTGGGAGACTTATAACCCAAGAAAGTAACAAACACGCCCCAAATCCATAACCTAAAAATTTTGATTATAGAAACTCTTTCAAACATGAAATTCCACTGATATCCCAGTGATGATAATATCATCCACATACACTACAAGAATGAGTAGTCGACCCATATGATGTCTAAAGAACACGGAATGATCATGAGAGCTTCAGGTCATGCTAAATTGCTGAAGGACATCAAAACAACATCTAAATTCTAAACCATACTCTAGGAGATTGTTTAAGCTCATCTAAAGAAAGTCTCAATCAACATACTTTAAATGCTTCCTCCTCAAGAACCATTAAGGAAGGCATTCTTGATATCCAACTGATGGAACTGCCAGTGATTGCAGCCAGAGCAATACAAATTTGAACAGATGGCATCTTTACGGTATGTCTGAGAGTAACCCTTGGCAAATAGTCGGGCTTTCAATCTCATGATGAATTTTTACGGTATAAACCCATTACAGCAAATTGTGCGCTTTTCACGAGGAAGCATAACCAAATCCCAAGTCTAACTTTCCTGTAGGGAATCCATCTCCTGTTGCATTGCTTTAAACCATCTAGTATGATTTACTGCCTAAATTACACCCCTTGGAACAAGGTGATTATCAATGGTTTTTTGGTAAGCGTATGATTCAGATGAAAGGTGAGAGTAGTCAAGGTAATTTTTAATGTGATATCTTGGTACAACTCCTTGTACCTTTTCATAAAGCAATTGGAATGTCATGGAGGGTGGTCCAGGTGGGTCATAGGGTTCGGAAGGAAGAGGTTCAGGTACAAATTCAGGTTCTCGATCAGGGTGTGATTTGGATGTAGACTGTGGAATAGGAAAGTTTCCGGTTTCATGACACGAAGTTGAGTTCTCTTGGTTCTGTGTTGCTTGTTTTCGTTGTCTAATGTACACCTTTGTGAATCAAGTATCCGTATCTAATGGTAGAGTTGGAAAAGAGTTGTTTTCTTTATATAGGGGTGATATAGATTGGAGGATCTGGAGTTTCAAAGGGATTGGGGATTAGATCAGATGACTCGGAATTTCAAAAAAGTTAGTGGGACTATCAAAGAATGGATTTGACTCATTGAAAGTGTCGAGAAAGTGACATTAGCAATGATAACCCTTTTCGACTCATGAATACCCTGGAAAGAAACATTTTATTGCATGTGGATCAAGTTTGTTATGTCTTAGACAATGATCATGTACATCACATACACAACCAAATATCTTAGGAGTCAAAGGAAAGGAAGTACCTTCAGAAAATGGAATGGAAAAAGGTATTTCTCCATTAAGGATAGAGGATGGCATGCAGTAGATTATATAATTTGCTGTGAGGACAGCGGCAGCCTAACAATGTTGTGGCACATTATAATGAATCATCATAGTGCAAGCAACATCCAACAAATGGCGTTTTTACGTTCAACAATTTCATTCTGTTGGTGTTTGTGCGCACATGATGATTCCTGTATAATACCATGTTCGGATAAAAAAATTGTAAGACCAGAAGAGAAATGCTCTTTTACATCATCAGATCGAAGTGCTTTTATACTCCTACCAAATTGGGTTTTAACATATGCATAAACCTCACGGAGCATGGAAAATATTCCATTATGTGATGAAGTATTTAAAACCATTTATTGGAGTAACCGGACAAAGTCCTCAAACATCGGAATGAATTAACTGAAATAAAGAACTTACATGTTTAGATTCTTTAGGGAGACAGGGACGACGGGTGTGTTTCCATAATTGACATGACTCGCAAAAAACTCAGGAAAGGGTGAAAAAGCTGGTCTAAGTCGCTTGAAAACGGGTAAAGAAGAAGAACCAAGTTGACAATGACATTCACGAATACTGGATTATTGAAAACTTGAATCAACTATCCGGTTCATCTCTAGTTCATAGAAAACACAATGTGTAGGAAAGAGAATTATTTAACAATTGTGTTTCTTGGTAATATGACTAATAGATATAAGACTACCTTGAATTGGACATGAAGAACCATTAACAAGTCTAACGAGGTTATGAGTTACACTTGTATCCTGGTTGAGTATGAGGTTTTTGTCCGTGGTCATATGATATGTAGAATCTGAACCAATAATCCAGGATGATGAGCAAGCAGAAAGCAATTTGAAGATATACCTGAATGTGTTGTATTAGCACAGGAAGTAGATGTTACTTGTCCAAAAACTTTTGGATAAACGACTGTTGTAACATCAGTGGGTGGATGAGATCTAGGTGGTCGATATGGACAATTGTACTTGGTGTGTTCATATTCTTTGCAGTAATGACACTAAATCTTGTTATAGGGATCATTCTTCCGATTCACTACTTTACCATTAGTTCGGGCATTAAAAGTCGTAAATGCAGATGCATTTGTGCCTCTGGACAAGATGGTATGTCGAGGCTAGAGATTGAGAGGCAGTGCGACTCAAAAGCAAAGGGCAACCAGCCGGCCACTAAAGTACTTGGGAGATAGCCCTGAGATAAATGTCATTGCATCCACCTTTGATAACCGCTCCTCCTTAACTTTGACATCTGGAGTGACAGGGAAGAGAACAGGTATCTCCTTTGCTAATTTGGACAACCTTGTATAATTTTCATTAAGGTCCAAGTTACCCTGATCACATCAATAATAAGATCCAAATACAGAGTACATGTGGGGGAGAGATTCCTTTCCTGAGAAAGAGGACTGCAAATGTTCCCACATCTTTTTTGTGGTAGGGTAATTTTGAGCAATACTCAAAACTGGAGGTTCCATAGCGCTCCACAAAGCCATTGTGATTCCCCCATCTTCAAGCTTCCATTCTCGAGTTTAGGTTTTAGAGGATCCTAGTTCAGATATGCATCTTTATCCAAGCTTTCATGGCCCGTTTGAACAAAAATACTCCATTATTTTCAACTAATTGAATTTAGTTTTAACACTTAAACCGATATTTTCATAGTGGCAGAATAATTAATAATTCCAAGGACAATAACATCTCCATTTTATAAAATAAGAGAAGGTTCGGAGTTAGATTGTTGACGGTAGGGATTGACCAGGTCCGACAGTCCGGCCCGGCCCGGAACTGGCACAGTACCAGACCGGGTCCGTAAAACCGATCCCGGTTTCGGTCGAAACGGCCAATTTTTTTAGTTTTATTCTTTTTTTTTTGAATTTTTTTTTTTGGGGGGGGGGGGGGCTTACGGCCGTTGGAATGGCAATATAGCTGTTTGGGTGAATAATGTGGTCCATCTACTTTGAGTGCGCAATCTCTTGAATCTCATTTGCTTCCACGATTGGTTGAAGGTCTGTCATAGAACTCAAGAAGTTAACATAGCATCGCCCCGCCACTTCATGGAGGAAACAACAACTGACGTCGGAAGCAGGAGTTCCGACGAATATGAAATGTATGTAATGTAACTATTCTCAATTGTAATTTGAGGATGTCTAGGTCAATGTAATGTTTCAAATAAATCTACAATTCATTTTTAATGTGTAACATTTTTTAGTTATATTACTAATATAATAAATTAAAAAAAACGCTCGAACTGGCCCGGGACCGGACTGAGACCCGTATTATCCAGGTCGGTTCCGGGCCTCCATATCTAAGAACCAGGACCGGGCTGGTACCGGGTCCATCCCTAGTTGAAGGCACTCTCTCACGAGTTTCGCGAAGAGCGAATGCATGAGCAGAAACCTTGAACAGAATCTTCAACCCAATAAAGAGACCTTTGATTTAGTTTATCTGAACATAAAAGCAACAATAGGGATGATCTTGTACAGAACGGGAATCAACTAAATGCTGATCTAGGGTTTCACGGGTAATAGTATTTCTGATGGGCTTAATTAGGGTTGTATCTTGAGTATCGGCTCTAATACCATTTTTATATAGAAGAAGTATGAAATGTTTTTAGTGTCTGTATTGAACAAAGAACATTGAATATATACATACAACTGAGTAATTCTAGCTAATCTAGTAAAGTGCACATTCTATACTAAGTAACAAAAATCTCCTTTTGTTGAGCATATATACAACTGTAACATATCTGTGACATAATCTCCTCAAATTGAGTATCTATACAGCTGTAACATAACGTAGGAGGCAATAATGTTGAGTAAAATCGCCATGAAAGAGGCGAATTTCATACAGCCATTGTTGCTAATACAGCCACAACATGACACACATAAGCAAGCAAAAAATCAAAATGATATCGTTTAACTTCCACTTTTCTACAGCACACGAAAAAGGTAAGAGAGTACCTTTTCTAAATCACGACCAAGCTTCTTTGCTGTCAAAGCCAGTGTATCCCTCTCCTTCAAAAGCTTCATCTTTAATTCCAAGAAATGGAGGGAAAACAAATGTCAACACCATGGCATCGGTAAAACAAGAGAAAGATGGGGAGTCGGCTCTTTTTTAATAGAAATATTACATAGTGATAGACTTTGAATTTGTAATTACTGTTATATATGTGTATGTATCCATTAAGGCTAATTACATATCTATAACATTAGTATCTCATAGTCTATCACGTACATTATCTTCACGGGTGATTTTCAATCGTAATTCGGATTCCTGGTAGCTTTGCTCGAGGTGGGAGACCTTATCCTCGAGCTCAACAATAGCACGGTCCTTGTCATGAAGCATTCCTCGAAGCCGCCCCACTTCTGACTCCAGCTTCGTCACGCGGGACGCAATCGCCATTGAAGTGATTTTCCGAGCCAGATCCAACTGCTCATACGGATCAGTCGGGATAACCGATAACACCTCGTCCGACAAATGGAATTCAGAACCAATCGCCACACCTCGACTGCTTTCACTACTGCTATGTGACATTCCAAAACTCCTAAACGCCCCTGACTTATATACTTCTGCAGGTATAAAGATAAAGCAAAATAATCGAACAGAGTAAGGTGGGCAGTGGATGATTATCGGAGATGAGACAGTTCAGAAATCAGAAGCACTCGTCGGCGCAGGAGAATAAAGATTAGATTAAAATTAATCTCGCCTCTGGGAAACTCAGAAATAATCTAAGGAGTACATTTTATGCCGTAATAGGGATTTAAAACAAGATACTTAGTCGATTTTATGTTACCTATAAGTATCATACATTTGTCCACATGCATTACAGAAAATGTTGCAGTTGAATGAATTATTTTTAAACCTAAATTAAAAAAGATAAAGTGTTATGCAATCAAATAAATGGTAGTTACGGTATTCCATTTTTCTAAAGAGTTGTCACCTTAAAATAATCCTTTGGCTCCCATGAAAGCCAACACTGCCCATCACGGTTTAGGGTATATTTTTGGCTTTTTTTGGCTATATTTGGTTATAGCCAAAAAATGTTTGGCTATATTTGGTTATATTTAGCCGGACAAAGTCGAGTAATTAGAGATCAAAAACACACAAAAATTAAAAAGTATAATACCGATGGTATATGTTTTGATAGGGTTTTTTACAATGTCAAGCACAATGTCTAAATGTAGACATTGATTGATATTGTTGTTAAGACTTGCCAAAAATGCATAAGACCGCGGAAAAAAGGAGAAAGTTGTCATGAATGTAGTTTTTTTTGTTAACCTCTCTCATGACACATATGCACCGTGTACATTATAGCATTGAATATGTTCTTATTTGACAATGTACTTTTGTGAATTTTCCGGTGATTGCTGCCTTTTGGTGATCGAAAATATTTTAAATGAAAACAATTGTACTTGTTTACTGAAAATTAATTGTTCAATTTATTAATGTTAAAAGTAACAAATTTTCCCCGAGAAGATACTCACTATAGATTCTCAAAATGATATTTTATGATTTTGAAAACACTTAAAATTTATTGTGTCAAACATAAAACTTGAATCTTATATGATTTTTTTGATATAATATAAAAGCGAGAAACAGAGTGAGAGTTATGTCTATTAAATATGGATTAAGTGAAAAATATATTTTTTGAACTTTCTGATACTTGTTTTTTCAGTAACTGAAAAAGGCTTAAAGAAACAAAAAAAACAAAAAAAACTAATTGTTAGTTAAAAGCAGATTGTTTGTTTCAATGATATTCAGTATTAAAACCAATTATGTCTGATTAATGTTAAAGTAACAAAATTGTTTCTAGAAGCTAGAGTGAGTAGTTGATGAATACATCAATTAATTATGGTTTGCATATATAATTATATACTTCATGTGCGTTGCACGGGAACGTGTCAATCAATATTAAGTAATGGTAATAAGTTGAAAAATATGGCAATCTAAAATACTATTTGGAGATTTATATGATAATAGTAAAATAACTGCCAACTAAAATTAGGGGTGGGCGCGGTCCGGTAAATTGGTAAAACCCGTAATGTATCTGTGAAGTTTTTAACGGGCTGGGTCAGTCCGGTTTCAAGGATGGAACCGTTCGGTACCATGTCGCTTCGGAACGGTACAAAACGGTACGGTACAATGTAAAACACATGCTAAATTTTTTGAATAAATCTTACAATTAATATATATCATCACACCAACCAACTCACATGAAATGTTGATATAAATACAAGAATTTGCATACGTAGTACTAAAACTCATAACTACACAAATAGTGCAACACAACTAAGAAAAAGTATAGCAAAACGATGACGTACGAGATACATATCATCTTTAATTTACTAATAAGTTCATGTGAAAATATAAAAAAGAATATAATATAATAGAAATCTTCAACGGTCTTCTTCTTCTTCGCTCTAGGTTAAAAATTACTCCGTAGTTCTAATTTAATTTATAGTTGAACCTTGAGAGCTAAGATTTGAACTGTATTAATTAAGTTGTAAATTTGCACAAACATGATACAACAAAAAGTCATGTACACTACATTACTAGAAATGAATAGTCATTAATGATTTTTAAAATTCTAATATTCTTTCGATCAACAAATACTTAAATATAACATAAATTGTCTAAAAAGAAAAAACAACAATATATATAAACAGACATTTAGCTATTTTATGGACGCATGAATACATACTTGGGCTATAAAAATGTTGGTCTACAAAAGAGATATATTGGTATAGAAAATATATAAAAAATTCAAATGCATTATTTTCGAACAATTCGGTCCGGTATTTTTCGGTTCTCAAAACTAGAACCGGTCCCGTACCCGTTTCAAACGGTACGGTTTCGGTACGGGACAAAAATCTATAGAACCGTTTAAATACCCGATATTCGGTTCGGTACCATTACGGGACGGTTCGGTACCGGTTCGGTTCGGGTTTTATGCCCACCCCTAACTAAAATTACAATTTACTGTGAACCTTCTGTTTACAGGTACATTCTTCCAAGTCAAATATAGGAGGATGGACTCTTTCTAATAATCAAATAACTCGATCCCCAATCCTTAATTGTAACCAGGATCGGGTCGGGATATAGTACGGGTGACTATAATGCGTTTAAAATTTATGTCGTAGTAGCATACATATACTTATTACGATGTAAAACATAGAATTGTGTTAAATTTACTTTATACTTTCAATCAACACTGAGGTTTATTTGTATTATGAACACTGAAGAGGAGAGATAGGTGGGAATTGTAGGGAGAAAGGATTCTTTTTACTTCCTTTCTGATTGTTTGTGAGTCTATGACTATGACTTACAACATATAAGTATATTAAACTTACTTTATACTTTCAATTAACATGGAAGTTTGTATTGTGAACACTAAAGCAATGCATGCATGTATTGAGAATAGGAATATATTCAATCTTGTATAATGCATGTGTGATGTCTTGACATGCAATAAGATTTTCTCTACATAAATGTAAGTCGTACAAACATAGTGAAAGCCACACTCCCACTGCCTTGACCAGAGCCGAAAATATATTAGTAATATTGTACACATACAGATTGACAAAGGATCATTGTTAAACTCGATGCACTCGTTATTCTTACTCTTAAGTTTATTATCACTTTAAAATCCAACATCAGGGAGAAACTCCCGCAACTTAATTCATTCATATACTCGGAATCAGTGTTCTAGATTTTATAAAACAAACGTTTCATGTGGATCGACCCAATATTTATTACTACAATTGACACTTGTATATATACTTGCAAGGTTAGCCAAATCAGTGTCATAAGAGAGAAAGTATGAATGTTTTAGCATTAATTAAGTAGACATGATACTACTTAATGTTGAGCATGTGATTTTTGGTGAATAGAGTTATGGGTTAGAGGTGTTGGTAGTGCCTTACTGCCGTTGTTACAATGGTGCCATGTTCAGTGCAATAATTTCCATTTTCATCATTGATTGCCAAGACTTTTTGATGCCTTCACTTTTTTATGACAAAATTGTGGGAAAATTTTGTATCAGCTTCCCAACCCTCTTGTAGCCATTTGATGCGGGCTTTTTGATGCCAACAATTTTCTTCTTGTTTAAGTATAAGGGCTAGATTTGCTTGGGCTTTGGACCATTGTTCCCGGGTTGCTGGTGTTGGGTCAATTTCGTAGTCTACTTCCCGTAACTGGGCCTCGTTTTCAGCCTTGTGGATTTCGTTGAAAAGGTTTCCAAAAGTATTTGAGTTCCACTCCTTTAGGTCATTAACTAGGATTGGAGTCAATAGATGCTTGAGTGACTTTGGTTGTTCGTTACTAGGCACTATTGTTGCTATGCCTATTGATCAGTGTGGCGCCGAAGCAATTGCGTTGTTGGTCACTGGGGCAAGGTGGCAAAAGTCACTATGGCGGTTGGTCAATAAGGCAACATAATCATTGTAAACATTGGTCATCAGAGGCTAGGGATTGGGAGTCACTAACATTGATCAACAATCACTTTAATGAAGTAAAATTATGTTGTCGACATTTGTGCCGGAGAGAAAACCCCCACTTCAATCACATGTTTGTTACTTTATATGTAATGATTTTTTTCGAGACACCTATAAAATAAAATTTGATCAAGTTTTGTGGGACGCCTATTAAATGAAGTTTGGTCAAATTTTGTAGGACAAACAGAGTATACGTTTGTCTTTCAAATAAAGAGGTCAATATGATGTTTTTATTTGAACTTATTTTAGTTCTACACCAAACAAAATAAGACTAAAGTAATCCTAAATAGATTAGACTAAACTTCGAAAGTCATAAAATCTAATACATAAAACAAATATCGACCGGATGAGATTGCAAAAATCGAATTTGACTTTGCACCCCTTTTTAGGTGATATTGGATTTTGCACCCCATTTTTAAAAAACTTTAACTTTGCACCCCAACACATACCATTTTAGGGGTGAGCAAATAACCGATTCAACCGACCTGACCGAAAACCGATGACCGAACTGACTGAAAAAATCGGTTTTCGGTCGGTTTTCGGTTATCATAAATTAACAATAATCGGTTATTCGGTTTTTATTCGGTTTTATTTGTCGGTTATCGGTCGGTCACCGACCGACCGATAACCGACCGATTTTTTTTCTTGTAAATATTTAAGTAAATATACTACATAATAAATTAATAACTCCATAGTAACGATAAAAAAGAACTCCATAGTAATGAAATATGAAGTCCAGCCCACGCCCATTGAACTCCACCTACAAAACTCATTAGTGGAATGCTATGGAGCCCGTTCTTCAATTATCCACTTCCCCATCTCTTTAACTTGTATTCTTATAATCAATTCATGGAACACCCTGTTCAAAATTTCAAACCTCCACGTACACCTTCATTAGTTCTGGAGGAATCAACCTTGGTAGAGAAAAATCAACCGAAATCCTTATTTAATCGTTGCGAAATTGCACACTTTTTTTCTTTTAATGTTTTCTAGATCCTTTATTATCTTACTCAACATAGCAGATCTTTTGATTTTTAATTTTTTCTTTAGTTTGATTTAAAATATTCAGAAACTTTTAGATGAGTTTGCTCATTTGGGGTGTAAAGATTAATAAGATATTAGCTAATTTATTAGCTAACAACCTAACATATCCTTTTTTTATTTTGTTTTCATATTGAAAAAGACAATTGTGGAACAATGAAGTAGTTTCAACGTGGGATTTTTTAGTTTTTGTAATCGTATTGTGCTAAGAACAATTATTT